GTGCTTTCATCAGCCTCCTCTGGGAATGGACACCTTGAGAATGGCTTGTTCAGAATGCTTGAGGCAGAGGCATCGCAAGCTTCAAGCTTTTCAGATTTGGAATGCTTGCATGGACTACTGACTGAGTGTCCCTAACCCAAAAGAGCAAGGACTCAGAAGTGTTGCATTAGGGAGACTTAACCTGTGTTTAACTCTCTGCTTGTTGAACTGTCAACTTTAACAGAATCACTTGACCTCCATCTTTGTAAAGGGGACCAACCTCCCACCGCTTTTTTCATTTTCTGACTTCTAAATTTTAAACCAAACCAGACGTACTGAGTCAAGGTTGATAATATTTGTATATTGTATGTTATCTAATTATAAATAATTGACACTTTCATATTTTTTCTACAAGTCGTTAAGGGCTGTGACCCATTGGTAGAGCGCTTGCCCTGGGCTCCATCCCTACCATTGTATGAATAAGCGTGGTGTCACTTGGCAGGTAGAGGCAGGAGGATCAGGAATTCAGGGTCATCAAAGATAGATGAGACCCTGTCTTAAAAAAAAGAAAAATGAAAGCCAGCGGGACTGGAGAGATGGTTCTTGCAGAGGACCTAGGTTTGACCAAGCACCCACATGGTGGCTAACAACCATCAGTAACTCCAGTTCCAGAGGATCTGACATCCTCTGGAACATTTACATATATTCAGGCAGTGCATGCATATACATAAAATAAAAATAAATCAATAGGGCTGGAGAGATGGCTCAGCGGTGAAGAGCACTGACTGCTCTTGCAGAGGACCCAGGTTTGATTCCCAGCACCTACATGGCGGCTATGAACAGTCATTAACTCCAGTTCCAGGGGACTCTGAAGCCCTCTTCTGACCTCCACAGCATTGCACAACACGGGTGCACTCACATACATGCAGGCAGTACACTCATACACATAAAATAAAAATAATAAAATATTTTTTAAAAATTGAAAAATTGTTTTAGAAATTGGAAAGCAGTTAGTAGCTTTATTCTTTTAAATTTTATAGATATCAGGGGCTGGAGAGATGGCTCAGCGGTTAAGAGCACTGACTGCTCTTGCAGAGGACTGGGTTCGATTTCCCAGCACCCACATAGTGACTACACAGCTGTCCTTAACTCCAGTTCCAAGGGAATCCGAAGCCTTCTTTTGACCTCCGTGGCATTGCACAACATGGGTGCACTCACATACATGCAGGCAGTACACTCAAACACATAAAATAAAAATAATAAATAAAATATTTTTTAAAAAATCTTACAGATAGCCACTGTGGAGCCATACAGATATTTTCCTCTATTTGATCTTTTATAAAAATGTTAGTGTGGGCTGGAGAGATGGCTCAGTGGTTAAGAACACTAGCTGCTCTTGCAGAGGACCTGGGTTTAAATCCCAGCACCCACATGGCAACTAACAACTGTCCGTAACTTCAGTTCCAGGGGAATCTGAAGCCCTCTTCTGACCTCCACCGGCGTTGCACAACACGGGTGAACTTACATATATGCAGGCAGTACACCCATACACAGAAAATAAAATATTTTTTAAAACTCTGTGTGTGTATGGTACTTGTATGAGCACAGGTCAAAGGACGGACAGCTGTGAGTCCTCACCTTGCACTGTGTCAGAGGCAGGGTCTCTTGTTCGTTGCTGTGTGCTCCAGGCCATCTGGCCCACCAGCTTCTAGGGGCTCCCCTGTTTCTACCTCCATCTCTAGGTAGGAGCACTGGGATTGCAGGTGTGCATTACTTTGTCTGGCTTTCATGGCGTCTGAGTATTCAAATTCTGGTTGACTCTTACACTAGTGTGGCAAGTGCTTTACACACTGAGCTATCCCCCTTGGCCTCCGTTCTTTCTTCTATTTGGTTTTGATGTCATAATCTTTGTGTCACTCAGAGAAATGTTCCTGTGGTCAAGATTGTCAATTCTTCATTATGCTTCATTCTCTAAAGCTCATTCCACACATCTTCATCTGACTTATTTGTCCACTGGAAACCTAGAGTCCTGCAGAGGGGTCCTATCTGTTTTAGGAAATCAGTCTATCTTTATCTTTCTGTATCTCTGTTTCTCTCATTCTTTCATAGTCTCTCTCCTTCTCAGCCCCCACCCTTCTTCCTTTATTTTGTGTTTTGAGATAAGATGTGATGTGTAGTCCAGGCTGGCCTCAAACTTGCTTTGTAACCAAGGATAACCTTGAACTCTTGATCCTCCTGCCTCTACCTCCTGAATGTTGTACAGGCCTGTACAACTTGGCATCTCTTACCCTTATGATTTCTTGAAACAGTCAGATATAGCAGCACATGCTTATAATCCCAGCCCTTTGCAAATAGAGACAGGCTTCAAGCAGCTTCCAGGCTACCCTGAGCCACATAATGAGAGTTTGTCTCAAAAACTGGTGGGGGACTGCAGAGGTGGCTCAAGGTTAAGAACACTTGCTGTTCTTCCAGAGGACCTGAGTTCAATTCCCAGCACCCACATGACAGCTCTTTTGCCCCCTTTGCAGGCATTACACAGATACCAGTAAACATACTGTCAATCAAAGCACTGTATAAATAAAAATAAATAAATCATTTTTAAAAAATAATAAAGGCAAGCCAAGCCGGGCGTGGTGGTGCACGCCTTTAACCCCAGCACTCGGGAGGCAGAGACAGGCGGATCTCTGAGTTCAAGGCCAGCCTGATCTACATAGTGAGTTCCAGGACAGCTGGGGCTACAGGGAGACCCTGTCTCAAAAAGACCAAAAAAAAAATAATAAATTAATAATAATAATAATAAAGGCATTGGTGGAAATTATGATTGAGTAAATGCAATGGACTTTAAAACATTCCTCATGTAATTACAAATAAGAATTCAGAATTAACTTGTATGACACAATTTTGAAGATCCTTTTAAAAATTATTTTTACATTCATTGTATATGAGTTTGCGTGTCTTAAGTGTGTGGGCATGCATGTACTATACAGCACATGTGTGGAGGTTAGAAGACAACTTATGGGAGTCAGTTTTCTCCTTTCACCACGTGGGTTACAGGGATCGAGCTCGGGTTGTCTGGTGTGGTGGCGAGTGTCTTTACCCGCTATGCCATCACATTGGCCCTGAAGAGCTTTTTGAGTTCTAGGATTTACCATCATCCCATTCAGGGATGGTGACATAAACATATTGAATAGCTGGTGTGTTGAGGGGGGTATAACAGGTGGAGGGGCTCATATTCCAGTGCCATAACAAAGAGGAAAAGGTCTGTGATCTTGTCTTCCTTCATAAAATTGTTTATGTTGGCGTGGAGTAATATAAACATTTTAAGGGCACAGAACTTAGACCTGGACCCAAAGTGTGTTTGTACCCTTTATAAGAGCTTGTAACTAGAGGAAGGTATGAGACCCCGTCTAGCGCACGAGCTGCACTAAAAACATTACATCAAAGGTGCGTTACTGTATTTTATGGTACACACACCTACCTGCCTTTTAATCCTATAATGCATTACCTTGTAAAACACTTTATTGTCTACAGAGCACTTTTACATGAATTTTTTAAGTTAACAAGATGTTAAAAATATCTTTTCCCAAAAAGGTTTTTGTGTCTATCCTGGATAGAATAATTGTACATTAAATGTTCTGCCTGTGGGCTGAGACAATGAAGAACCGATCAAACAGCCGATGTGAGGGAGGAACGGCTTGTGGGTTGGAAGAAAGGGCAGGATGCTGAGCTGGTGTGATTCATGCCCATTAGCAGCTGAATCCAAGAGACTCAGGAAGTTCTGGTCTCTGAAAATTGCAGGTCAACAAGTCAGACTAACCTATGTGGTGACTTTGCTTTATGCTATAAAGACACTGGACTTACTTTCATTGTTTATTACTGGGCTGGGTTCTGAAAACCCCAGGTTCTAGGATTTGCTAAGAGGACTCAGAGATATGCTTTACTATTGCAGAGGACACAGCCCATCAACAAAGAGAAA